AATTAGAATTAGTTTAATTGAAATTTTATTCATTAAATAAATTTATAAGTTAATGCCGAGACGACATTTTTTTTTTATTTCTTATACTTATGTTGAAATAGCTGATTCGACCTACTTTTCTAGTAAATTTACATTAATGATTCTTGAGGGTAGAGTTTTATTGTCTTTTTGACAGAGGACGGTAAGTGCGACATTCAGAACCGTAGACGTAATGGGATGGCCAAGGACGCATTCCAGCAGCTGATCAGAGTATTCCGAGACAAGATTGATAACAAACAAGAGAATACTGAGCTGTTACCTGACATCTGTCTATCATTACGGCAGCGAATTTTGGACGATTTCCTCAACGATGAAGAAGATACTCGATCCGACGGAGATGTGGTTCTAAAGAAGGATGCTGAGGATATAATGGACCGAGAGTGTGAGCAACGATGAGGTCAGAGAGAGGTTGTAAACAAGGAGGAGGCTTATTCATAATATCAGAAACAAGCAGCTGAAGTTTCTGGGACATATAAAGAGGAAAGAGGGCTTGCAAAAACTGATACTCACAGGTCAAATAGAGGGAAAGAGAGACAAGTAAAATCAACGGCGCATAACATACCTGGCGGGCTTAAGCAATTGGATGACAGAACGTGGTCTGGGAGAGGAAGCAGGAGGAAAGCACAGCCACACAGGATAGAGGGAGGTCGAGAGCCAGGATCGCCTACGCCCAGAATGGCCATGACATAAAAAGAACTGAAGTGTTTCAGAAATGTATATTGGAACAATTTCAATATGGATGATAATAATAATAATAATAATAATAATAATAATAATAATAATAACTAGCAGCATGGACCAGCGTTGCCCGTGGTTGATTCAAAAATCGTACGACTCATACAGCAATCGCTATCACTTGACTTAAAATATGTTTGCCCTTCCTTGCCTTTAAAGGAGTGTCCTTGCTGATGTTGCTACATGCCTTACTTCTTGCCTATCTCACACTGCGAATTTTTTTCTAAGCTCTATTCTAAACATTAAATCTCTTACGAAAAAAGAACTAAACAAAATGAACACAAAACGATCAGCTTTAAAAAAGGACTCATAACTGGAAAAATCGAATGAAAAAAGAATGTTAACAACAAATACTTTTTTACGCCCAAACCCAGTTCTGCGGAATCAGAATCAACGTTGAGTTTAAGCAAGCGAATGAGCCAATTGGAGTAAAGTGTCATGCAGATTTAAATTTTTCCCACTTGTGACGAATGCAGCTATCGATTTTTTTCATGCTAGTTAACATTTGTGTCAGTCAGCTGTTGGCTCTCACTCTGGCTAATAGAATCTTCCTGTCTATTCGTGGCAGCCAGCTATTGGCTCTCACTCTGGCCAGTACAAAATGGCCGCAAAGTAAATGAAAACTGCCGTAGAAGCATGAAGAAATCGATTGTTTCCACTACCGATGGCAGTTGGGAAATGCAAAGTCGGTCTTGGCCTTCCCGCTAACTTGGAGCATGTGCATGTAAATTCTGGTGCAAATCCGTCGAAAATTGCGGCCGTGTATTCATTACACAGACGCACACATCCTGTCTTTTATAGATAGAGATAATAATAATAATAATAATAATAATAATAATAATAATAATAATAATAATAATAATAATAATGTTGGTGATAAAACCTGACCTTGCAACAGAAATGGCTTTCATGGCTTCAAACCTTAACTGATTGTACATCTTTTAATTTGAACGATTCGTTTTCAACATCTCATCAACGCTTTGCAGACTATGCCAGAAGATATTTTTAGATTGAAAGAATTTTATAGATAATAATGATTTGCTTATACAATTCTTACGAATTAATGCAAGAGAAAGAAAAGGATACATAATTAATCAAAATTTGATAAACAAACAAAAAAATTCTAATGTGGATATAAACTGAGGGGTCAATTCTATATTGCAATCACTATAAAAACTGATGCTTCATTTTGTGTACAAGTTAGTTTCTATATATTTATATGCAAGAGAATGTAAATAAATCTAAAATATATGCCTGTGTACCTCCGCTAATTTTTAAAATGAATTTTTATAAATGAAAAAATAGAAGCTTTCTTGAAGGTTTCACTTTAGCTTTAATAGAAAGCTAAATGATTAAAGTTACACTTTCCTATAATTTAGTTTAAAACAGAAATTATATTGATGGAATTGAATTTTATTAAGTAGCTGATTACCGCCTTTTTTAGTCGCCTTAGTCGTCTATAATCGCAGTGTAATTCTCTGCATTAATAAATCTTCCAAACATAAAATATAATATTCTGAAATTTTATATGAGGAATATTAGCTGATTTAAATTACAATTAAACTAATTTTTAAAAAAAAAATAATTTCTTTAATTTTAAAATAAAAGAGAAAATCATATTTTTAAACAAACAGTAGTATTAGACTTTGCCAATCAAAGACTTGTTCTACAGAGTTAAAACATAATTTAAGAAAAAGGACAGGTGTGATTCCTTTTTATATAATATTTAAGTCCGCAGTAATCTTAAAAATATTGGAAAATATTTACCGCAATCTAATTTTATGAACGTTGATTGTAAATTTACTATAGTCATCGCTCTTAATTTCTGATAATGCCATATATGATCAAACGTACTTTTCAAAATAGACACGTTACATGATATTTTATGTACATAGAAAATTTAAAAAATAATTTAAAAAATCTTGTTGCAAAATGTTTTGTATTGATCTTTTCAATTTAAATTATGATGTCCAACTTTTGAAAGACTGACTATGATAAAGTTCTGATCTTAATATAATTCAACCACTGTGGAGGAAACTGAAGTAACAAGTTCGCCAAGGAAAAGCACGAAGCCTCCAAGGGTTTTGGGATTACTGCCAAGATGAATGTAGAAAAAAAATAAAACTTCCAATGAATCTAATGTCACATCGAATTGACGCAATTATTTGACTCACATTAATTACTAACTCCATATTTGGTGTATATTACTACCTATATAGAATAATGGCTGATGGCAACAAAGTGTTTAGTATTTCAGAGACTTCAGATGCAACTTCATTTACTTTTCCCATATGTATATATATATATATATATATATATATATATATATATATATATATATATATATATATATATATATATGTGTGTGTGTGTATATATATATATATATATATATAAAATATATATATATATATATATATATATATATATATATATATATATATTTAAGCACAATACTCGATTGATAGCTAAATTTCGTCATGTTACTGTTGAAAATTTGATGAAACCAAATGTTCTATGTTAACAATTTTTTCTCCTGCATTTCTCGCTTGTGGAACTCTTTTATGGCTTCTTTTGTTCAAATTCGATCTTCCAAAATTTAGATTAGGTTTTGTTGTCTTGAATACTCTTCTTTTATTGTACTCTCTCGTTAATATTTTTTTCTCAGTTTCTTTCAGTCTAAATAGCCTCTTATGTGTTAGTGGCTTTATTTCCTTGTTTGAGCCGAAATAATTTAATAAAAACATAAAAATAGAACTTAATAATACTGACGAACTTGAAACAAATATGTGGACGTTAAAACGATACCTGATCCTGTAGATTCTTTGTGAAGCTACGGCAACGTGATGTAGTCTCAGTAACAATTGAATCGTACAATAGGAAGTTGTTAGTCTCCAGATTTCCACATTGTATCAAGAATTATCGTTCACCGAGACTGGTGTCGTAATCGTTGATTTCACCTCATCATCTGTTTGGAAATCTATCGCCTGACTGTTAACCTATATATGTGAAATGCGAAAGATAGTCTAGAATATTTATAAGGGAGGAAATAAAAAACCTACTGGATTCAGATATCATTGAGTCCAGTTGATTTCCGTGGTGGGTTCAAATAATGGTAGAGAAGGATGAGAAAAGAAAACAAAATATTAGTCATAGATTATTCACAAATGATAAAACGTTTTACCTTCAAAAATACCTATCGTCTACCTATGATATTACAACCATGGTTTAGGAAATACAGAAGTATAGTCTGTACTCTAAACTAAACCAAAAAAAGAAGTCCGTATCATCAAGTTCGCCTACGTAAAGTAGACCGGCGTTACACGGCTTTTATAATTGAGCACATTAAATCTCCGTGGATAGTGTAACTTGTGGTAACTAAGGATGAGAAACGAAAAAAAATGTTAGTGGCTTTATCACCTTGCTTGAGGTGAAGGGATTAGTAAAAGATTATCCAGACTTTAAGATGTGTCTAACGTGTTTTAAAGTCCATCTTGATAACATGAGTCTAACTTCAACAATTCAATTTAATTTTGAACATCAAATATATTTTGAAATGTTTGAGGAGAATGATGAATCACTGAAGCAAGTAGAGATGAAAATGCCATGGGAAGAATAATTTCCATGCCAAACCATTATCGTCTTTTGACCAATAAAGTAGACATTAGGATCGTCATATTGCCATACATTAACGTCATTTTTTTTCCCAACTGGAGTTCATAATTTTCGAAGGTAAAGATTATAACGTGTTGCCACACAATTTTCACTAGGATTCACTAGTATTCAAATCGTAAGAAGTAAGTTTTACTCGGACACTTTATTCTCAACGACTGCTGCTTTCGCGATCATTACAATTTTAATCCCTTTAACTCTAGGATTAAACGTTATAATTACTAACTAATCCCATAAACATCACTTCTTGTCTTCTCGTATGCTCATAAAATAACACACAGTAACCTTCTATTTGATTAACTTTGAGGCTTCTTCATCTGTCAGATTTGCCAAATTCACTGTCATATAAGTATAGTCTGTACGCTAAACTAGACCTAAAAAGTGCGTATTATCTAGTGTCCCTACGTAAAGCAGGCGGTCCTTTCATGGATTTTAAAGCCAGTGGTAAATTGTATAATTTCAAATGGATACTGTGCGTGATCAAAAATCCAGTAGTTGGGTTTCAAAGAATCTTCAGAAATAATCGGTTCCTCTGCCAGGATTTGACTGCCTAGTTTTTGGTATTATTTATTTATTATCACTTCCTCTATCTTCTTTTTTCTTTCTTTATTCTTTCCTTTCTTCTTTCATATTTTCCTTTCTTTCTTCTCTTCTTTCTCTTTACCTTTCTTTCTTGCTTTCTTTCTTTCTTCTATTCTTTGTTTCTTCTTTTATTTTCTTTGTTTCTTTCTTTATTTCTTCCTTTCTTCCATTCTTTGTTTCTTTGTTTCTTTCTCTCTGTCTTCCTTCCTTTCTTTCTTTCTTTCTTTCTTTTTTCTTTCTTTCTTACTTCCTTTCTTTCTTCCTTCCTTCCTTCCTTCATTCCATCCTTTCTTCCTTTCTTTCTTCCTTCTCTTCTTCCTTTCTTTCTTCTTTTCTTTTTACAAACATATACGCAGCTTCAAAACACCACAGAAAAGCCCAGCTTTTACAGAATATAACGTACATGCTAAATAAGTAACAAAGCCACAACAACAACAACAGCAACACCAACAACAACAGCAACAACAATAATAATAATAATAATAACTTAATGGGTCCAATAAAACGAAGGTTATCAACACGTTAGCTGTACCCGTAGCAACATAGAGCTTCAACATTATTAAATGAAAGTGGAATGATATTAAAAGATTGGACATCAAGGCCAGAAAAATGCTTACCCAAATAAGGATGCACCAACCGAAATCAGATGTTAATAGGATGTATGTGCAAAGACCTTTAGGAAGTCGAGGTCTGATCCAACTTGAATTAAATCTAAAATCTATAACAATCGGATTGGATGCCTACCTCCCAAAAACCAATGACTCTCTTCTACAAATAGTAAAACACCAAATCCACACCATCAACAAAGACGCTGAACCCTTCAAGAAACAACTTAATATACCTGAAATTCTACAAAAAAATTACCAAGGTGAATACCATCTATGCCTACGAGTAAAACAAGCGAAACTGAAAGCAAAATAACCTGGCCAAATAAAATTCCAACAAATCTGGGAGGACAAGGCGTTGCTTGGTAAATAAATAAAAAGAACCAAAGAAGCAGATGTAGACCAGCAGAAAACACATCAGTAGCTGAGGAGCACCGGGATGAAAGTCAGAAGACCTAATTATTACAGGTGAGGACCAAGGCCTCGCAACCAAAGCCTATCACTGACATATAATCAAGGAACGAACCAACCCGGAATGCAGGATGTGCGGAAAACATGACGAAACTATTGATCATATTATCTCAGTATGTCCGGAACTGGCAAAAAATGAATATATCCACAGACATAACAAAGTAGCGACATATGTGCATTGGAAAATATGCAAGAAGTACAAAATCGAAACCACTGAGTGATGGTATGACCATCAACTGGACACAGTTAACCAAAATAACGTTGTAACTATCCACTGGAACATGTCATTCCAACTGACAAAGAAATAAAAGCCAACAGACTTGATGTTATCATAAAACACAAAAAAATTCCGGAAGTGTATGCTTATTGACACAACAATACAATCAGAAGGAAACACCTCCATAAAAAATGATGGAAATATTGTCCAAGGACCTCGAGATCAAGATTAACTGAATGTGTGACTGTGCAAATAGTAATCAGAGCTCTGGGCCTCAGAATAGGAATGGATAATTTTACTAATAGGGTCCGAGGTAACATCAACGTACACGTTGACCAGTAAATCGCCCTACTAGGAACATCCTATATACTAAGAAAACTGCTATCAATTGTATGCCAATTCTCGTATAGGGCCTAAAGACCATATATTGGACCTGGATAAACAAGATACAAAGTAGGTAACAAACAAATAGGGCCCAATGACCATATATTGGACCTGAGTAAACAGGATACAAAGTAGGTAACAAACAAATAGGGCCCAAGGACCATATATTGGACCTTGGAAAACATGATACAAAGTAGGTAACAAACAAATAGGGCCAAAGGACCATATATTGGACCTGGGTAAACAGGATACAAAGTAGGTAACAAACAAATAGGACCCAAGTACCATATATTGGACCTGGGTAAACAGGATACAAAGTAGATAACAAACAAATAGGGACCAAGTACCATATATTGGACCTGGGTAAACAGGATACAAAGTAGGTAACAAACAAATAGGGCCCAAGTACCATATATTGGACCTGGGTAAACAGGATACAAAGTAGGTAACAAACAAATAGGGCCCAATGACCATATATTGGACCTGAGTAAACAGGATACAAAGTAGGTAACAAACAAATAGGGCCCAAGTACAATATATTGGACCTGGGTAAACAGGATACAAAGTAGGTAACAAACAAATAGGACCCAAGTACCATATATTGGACCTGGGTAAACAAGATACAAAGTAGGTAACAAACAAATAGGACCCAAAGACCATATATTGGACCTGGATAAACAGGATACAAAGTAGGTAACAAACAAATAGGGCCCAAGTACCATATATTGGACCTGGGTAAACAGGATACAAAGTAGGTAACAAACAAATAGGGCCTAAGTACCATATATTGGACCTGGGTAAACAGGATACAAAGTAGGTAACAAACAAGTAGGGCCCAAGTACCATATATTGGTCCTGGGTAAACAGGATACAAAGTAGGTAACAAACAAATATGGCCCAAGGACCATATATTGGACCGGGGTAAACAGGATACAAAGTAGGTAACAAACAAATAGGGCCCAAGGACCATATATTGGTCCTGGGTAAACAGGATACAAAGTAGGTAACAAACAAATAGGGCCCAAGGACCATATATTGGTCCTGGGTAAACAGGATACAAAGTAGGTAACAAACAAATAGGGCCCAATTACCATATATTGGACCTGGGTAAACAGGATACAAAGTAGGTAACAAACAAATAGGGCCCAAGGACCATATATTGGACCTGGGTAAACAGGATACAAAGTAGGTAACAAACAAATAGGGCCCAAGTACCATATATTGGACCTGGGTAAACAGGATACAAAGTAGGTAACAAACAAATAGGGCCCAACTACCATATACTGGACCTGGGTAAACAGAATACAAAGTAGGTAACAAACAAATAGGGCCCAAGGACCATATATTGGACCTGGGTAAACAGGATACAAAGTAGGTAAGAAACAAACAACAACAGCAATAATAATAATAATAATAATAATAATAATAATAATAATAGAACACTTTATAATTGTGTTAACCTAAAATGCAGATTCTGTAATGAATATACAGAAACAGTGAAACATATTTTATGAGGCTGCAAGGTATTAGCATCTACCGGATATAAAATTCGCCATGAAAGGGGACCAATATCTAAACCGGAAAATATGCACACTTAATGTGAAGGAGGCAGCAGAAAATCGGTATGAAAACCAACCAAACCCATTTGCAAGCATTAGGACATATAACAATTTCATTGTGTTGTGGTCCGACTCAAAAAAGATTGTCTTCCTAATGGAGTTAACAGTCCCTTGGGAAGAGAACAGGATGGAGGCGCACGATCTAAAGAAAAACCGGTACGAGTCACTGTGTGCCGAATGTATGGGAAATGTTTGGACCTGTCACGTGATGCCTATTGAGATTGGGTGTCGTGGGTTTCTGGGACATTCGGTCATTTCCTTCCTTTCAAAAATAGGCATCACTGGCCGTTGGTTTAAAAGCGATTCACATCGCATCAAAAAACTGTTCAACACGCGTCAAGTTGGATTTGGTCGAGATCAAAACAAGCAAATAAAATGCGCGCAACATCACGACCTAACATGCGCAAGTGAGATATTTGCGTGGTCGTCTATAACGATTTTTACGAGCGCGTCAATAACGGCAAACGCGTTCAAGAGACTTTCATTGCAGATAGATTTTACTTAAAGGAACAATTAGTTAGCTTATCTTCATACCCTGCCTGTTGGCAAACGCTGCTGGTGGCGCCAGGGGTGGCGGTCCCGCCATAGCCACCGAAACCGTGAGATCACCCCTGGTCGGCGGCTGTTGAAGACAGGGTATCGCGAGTGCTAACACACGTTGTATGTTAAAAAAAAATTGACTTTACAATGCACACAGACAGAACTAATCGCACAGAAAAAGCGAACAAAGACTACAAAAACAGTATATGCTTTCGTATTGATATGGCGGTCTCTGCAGACTGTAATGTATCTTTGAAGATCTTCTTGGAATAGAAATCGAAATAATGCGGCATATGAAAATATCAGTTTTTCTAGTCGTTGTTGGCGACCTCGGTTTCATTAAAGTAGAATGGACTCATTAAAGTCATCCATCGTAGACCATGTCTTAAACAAATAAAAGATTGTTCTTATTGGAACACCGCAAACCTTAAGAAAGTCGTTATGTATGTAAAATGAGTCTGTCCTTAGGTCTTTTATGTATGTAATGTGTTTTTACATATATTTTCAGAATAAAATGTCATGATGCCATTTCTCATGGAATGAAATGAGTATACAACAGAAATCAAATAAGAAGGAGGACGAGGAGGAGAAAGAAGAGGATAAGAAGAGTTAATCTAAATGAAAGTTAAAATCTCGATAGGTACCTCGACATTGCCAGGTGACAGGCACAACAATTGCTAACATTCTGTTGCTAACCGTCTCAAAGACAAACTGCTTCAGGGACTAATGATCAAAGTGAAAATTGAAACCATTCAAAGAACAGTGACGCTCAAATGAGCCACAATACGCAGAGGCATTTTCGAAATTTGTAGTCATCTGAACGCCAGTGAAAACTATTTGTTTCTACTGATAGGAAAACACGAAAGGTAATAATAATAATAATAATAATAATAATAATAATAATAAAAGAGTTTGTGGGTAACATAACCGTTCTCAGTGCGGACATTGAATTTGTAGATCCGAGAAATACACACTGTTATACACCAAAAAAATTATAGGTGAGAAGACGAGGAGAAATTATTTCACTATCTTCCCTATGAAGTCGTGGCAATTTATAATTTATAAATTGTAAAAAAGTAAAAAAAGAAGCGTGAGGAGAATCATGATTGCCTGCGTCCAAAAGGGACACAGCATTTGGAAAAATTACCTTCTAAAAGAAGAAAAGGAAGGAATAGTTAACGAAGAAGAAGAAGAAGAAGAAGAAGAAGAAGAAGAAGAAGAAATAATAATCAAATTTTTGCGATTTTAATAATAATAATAATAAAAGGATCTTTAATGCTTTGTAAATGTACCAAGTCTCCTCGGTGAGAGTAACTTTCCTTAAACATAGCATGAAACCGTGGAAAAGGTACTGCCACTTCTAGTACCCGATGAGGAATCCTTCAAGGAGACTCCTACACCCAACATTCACATGAACCAATCATTAATAACTATGGATACAAAGAAATAAAGAAAGCGTTTAATCTACATGGAGTATATCAAACTCTATGCTGAAGACGATAATGAGTTGAATGGTATCCTCAGTACTATAAATTGTTTCGGGGACGACATCAGTTGGATTTTGGATTAAATATATGC